GAAACGGAACATCACATGTCATTTAGTACATCCCCCTGCCTCCAGGCAGAAATACAGCAAAGGTTTCCCCAAAGAGATGGGCTTAAAAGCCTATTTTTAAGGCTTACTCCTTTCTAACCTCTTCTTTCCCCAACTCCATTTCCCTTCAGAGGATGATCTCACCTACTTTGTTGAGATATGAGCTCCCTGAAATCTCTCCCCTCCCCCACGTAAAACCTTTCAGTCTTAAACCACTTTCTTCCCACTCCATTAGGTCTTTAAAGAATGAAGGGTCCTCTACCTTTGCCAAGGTTAACTCCTCCATTTATATACACTTGGATCCTATCTCTTCCCAGCTCTTTAGGAACTTTGTTTCATTAATCACTTCTTCCTTCTATCTCTTTCTCATATCTTCATTCTCCCCATCTCTCCTACTTCCTTTCCTTCTATTTACAAAAACATATCTTCCTGCCTCCACCTCTAAAAAAAAAAAAACCTCTCCTCAACCCTCTCATCTCCTTTAAGCTATCTTCCAATATCTCTTCATGATTTAAATTCAAAAAATTATGGTGTATATTCCTAATGATTCATTGCATCTACTTCCCTACCATTCAGCAAACCTCTGCAATCTGGCTTCCATACCTTACTGAAACTAGTCTCTCCAAGGTCACCAGTGATCTTCTCTAATTTCCAAATCCAATGGCTCTTTCTCAAATATCATTCTCCTTCACCATTTCTGCAGTTTCCTAGTTGTCCCATCTCCCTCAGGCCAGCCCTGAAGGCTCTCCACCTCCACTTTTCTATCTAGCTTACCAGCATTACTTCAACACTATTCCCCTTCTTCACATGTGATCTCACTCCAGTTCTATATCTACTATTTTAAGTATTATTATCATAATTATACTGGATTCCCTTATGCGTATCTATACAAACCATTTTCCACACCTAAAATACTCATATTTCATAAATCTGCATATTCAAGCTTCCTTACTTTCTTCAAGGCCTTAAGGGTCCACTACCTCCATAAAGCTTTCATGACTATAGCTAAAAGTGATCTCCTTCCTTAAAAAAAAGTTTTCATATCATTTTGCCTAGATCTTTCCTTTTGCGTTTAATCACATTCTATCCTGCACCACACTTTTGTGTACAGGTCTTATTCTCTTAAATTACCCCATCCCACCCCCACCCCTTAACAGAATATGTCATTTTCCATTTTTTTTTGCATAATTTCTTGCAATATACTTTGATATTTTAGTGAACCCATGAGCCACAAATCATCCATGTTTTCCCAGACTATGATATTCTTATTCAAGTCTTTCCACAAAGGATCTTACCAACAGACTAGAGGCTATTCTCTGGGGTTTGGGTGCGTGGTTTTTTTTTTAATTCCATGTATGCCTGTGAAGCATATTCAATCTCGATCTCTCAAGAGGCAACAGAATTACCTCTTTTTCTGGTCACACATATTCTTTATGATGTTTTATGACACTTCTCTAGCAAAATCACCCTCCTAATATGCTGCAACCTTATACCCACCAATGTCTTTCCATTGCCCTTTGGGTCACCTGCAGTTTTGATTCTTCTGCAGTTACCCTCTTTTAAAACATCAAACCCACGGGTCATTCAAGAAATTGACTTAGATATCTTGAAAAACACTTGAAAAACAAAGTGGAAGAATGGATTATTGCCCATATTATAATATGTACTTGGACAATTAGTCCATCAGTACATACTACATCTTTGAAAGACACTAAGCTGAATTTTATGTACTTATAATGTCCAAACTTGAACCCAGAAGAGAGATGAGAAATTGTACCTTCTTTTTTTGCAAAGTTGGATGCCTAAGGATATGAAGCATCGTATATACTTGTTAGACTTGGTTTATGTGTTAGTTAGCTTTGCTGAATGGCCTGCTTTGTTTTTATTTTTTTTAAATGGGATTATTCCATAGGTAAGAGGGGGAGGGGCATGAGAAAGGGAAGGGTCTATTAAAATAAGGTCTCTTAGGTTCTATTTAAAAATGACAAAAACAAATAATAGCAACAAAAGTTAAACATTTCTTTAAAGAAAAGAAAAAAAGTACTGCAGACAGACAATGAATAGGAGGAAGCTGGGCTAGATAAAATTCGGAGAATATAAGCAGCTCATCATAGAGCTAAATTTGAAGTCAGAAAATCTGAGGTCAAAAAAATCAACCTTCAACACTAGCTATGGGCAATTCATTTAACTTTTCTGAATTTCAGTTTTTTAATCTGTAAAATGAGGATAATACTTCTAGGTAATGAAAGGGGTGTTAAAAGGAGGAAATCAGAATGCATATAACAGCATTCTGTAAGCCTTTAAACATTATTAAATGTCAGCCAATAATAATAATAAAACAAGCAGCATTTTTGATTATCACATGCTGCTTACTACAAAAAAGTAACAGCAATTTTTTTCCCTTTGTGAATCAGGGACAAAACAAAAACTAAAACCTTGATTTTGGAAGAAAAGGTGCCTGTAAATAGGAAGCACTCATTTACATTTGTTCAATTTGCTGCATCTCTGAAGAATATTCTACAATCTCTCAATATACCAGTTACAAAGTCTAACAACTCCTCTTCTTAACCTACAGATGACCCTAATTGGTAAGTGACAACAAATATATGGTCTTGTAGCTAAGTTTTGCTTTGTTTTTAAAAGTAACAACTAGGGGCAGCAAGGTGGTGTAGCGGATGGAGCACAGGCTCTGCAGTCAGAAGGACCTGAGTTCAAATGCAACCCTCCGACACTTGATCACTTGATACTAGCTCTGTGACCCTGGGCAAGTCACTTAACCCCAACTGCCTCACTAAAAAAAAAAGTAACAACTGAAAAAAAAAGTCTTCTGGACTGGAAAGAGACTAGTCTGGAAGACTATAAACTCAGCAACTAAAAAGCTGTAAAAAATAGTCCACTGGTCACAGCAGTTCTACTTCAGATTCTGATTCTGTGTCCTGGTCTGTTTCATTTTTAAAATGAGAGGGGTTAACTAGAGTTTCCTTTCAGCTCTAACACTGTTTCAAGGTTCCTTCTCCAGCTGTGACATTCTAAGATTTTAAATACATGACCAAAAGTCATATATAGGATATCAGTCTCCTCAAGCCTTTCACTACCAGAAGGTGTCACTGTATGAATCAGCACCTAGCAAGGGAATGGAAATAAAATATTGGGGGGGGGGGGACGGTGACCTTAGGGAGCTGAGGAGGAAAAATAAAATAAAATCTAAAATCCTCAAGCGACTCACACTTTGATCTAAAAAAGCCAAAGTTCATAGGATAAAGATCATCCTCATCTTATTTTGGACTGGACCATAAGCTTTAGCAAAATTCAAGGTTCCTAAAATCCTTCAGAAAAAACTTTCCTTGGTGCTAATTTAAAATAACACCTCAAAAAATTACTTAAAATCATTTACCAAACCTCAGAATTTTCAAAAGTGATAATACACTAAGGTCCTTCCCCTTCCTTTAAGGGATGAAATGACCAACTCAAAATTCTCAAGATAATCCCTTAAGAAGCCCAGCTGCTGCTGTGTGAGAATAGTCTAGTCACAGCTGCTAACCCATTACAGGTAAAGGGAAAAATCAATAAAGATCAGAATGAAGAATGAAAGGGTAGAGCCCAGAAAATCGGCATAGAAAACATAAGGAAGTTTAAGGGAAAGGGAGAGAGCAGAAGGGGGTGAGGAAAGAAAGGACAGGATAGAAGAGGGGAGAGATGGAAAAGAGAGACAGAGAGAGAAATGAAGGAGAGAAAGGGAGAGAGGAGGGAGAGGGAGTGAGAGAGAAAAAGGGAGAGGGGGAAGAGCAGAGGGAAAGGAAAGGGGAAGAGGAGGGAGGGGGAAAGAAGGAGGGAGAGGGGGAGGGGGAGAGAGAGAGAGAGAGAGAGAGAGAGAGAGAGAGAGAGAGAGAGAGAGAGAGAGAGAGAGAGAGAGAGAGAGAATATATATGAAAATAGATTAATGTCTTTGAGGGGGGACTCTTATTCTGACAGGAGATTCGGTCTGGCTGCCACAGCCGGGTTAAGTGCCACGACTGGGGCTCAACCAAAAGAGACACACACACAAATATGTCCATTACCCCCACCCCCACCCCTGAGTAAAGCCACCCAGAAACCCTGGGCTCCTGCTGCTGTGCTCCACACCCACAAACTGAGAGGAAGCAGAGAATGGCTATTCCACAAAACACAAGACCTGAAAAGTATTCAACAAGACCGGCCACCACACTCCCAAACAAAATCCTCTAAAGGGTACCTCTTTTTCAAAGCGCCAGATCTCAATCTGACCATTTTAAAGTCGCGCCTTTCAACGTAATACTATCGGCTTTTCCCTACATCCAATTCAAGCACTATCTCCTCCCTAGGCTGGGAGGAAGAGTGAAACGCGTGTGATGGAGGAAAAGGAGGAAGCAGGCAGCAGAAAAGATTAAAAGCCTTTAATAACTTTAAGAAACAATTAATAGTTGTTCCCCATCCTGCTTTTCCCGTTTGCATCCACCCCCTACACGAGATACATTTCCCCAAAAAACTTTCGTCTCTTCCACTGCGAATCGGATCTCAAACATTGGGGGGGAGGAGGGGGGAGACTTCATGCAAAGCGGAAGAAGCTCACAGAAATTTAACTCCTTGATTCTTACTTTTTTTTTCACGACCCTACCTCCACCCACCCCCACTCCCCAGCAAAACTTGGAAACAAGTTATTTTCCAGAAGAGGAAAAAAAAGAAAAAAACATCAACCCCCACTAACATGCGTGGTGCTACAAGCTTAATTCAAGACTTTTCTCAGTCGAGAGATAGCCCCGGTTAACCGGTTTATTATAGGTACTTTCAGTTTCCTACATGGGAGGGGGAGGGGGCAGAATACATCAATTCCAATACATTTCTCTAATAACTTCTACCCTCCTTACTCCCCCAGTCCACTGCACGCCACCACCACGCCCCTCTCACCACCGCCCCCACTCCTCACTCCCCCCCCCCAAAATCAGAAGTTTTAATCCGGACCTTACCCTACGAAGACACTAAAATGCAGCTCAAGACAGGTTTGGGCGGTTTGGATTCTTTTTTTTTTCTTTTAACGGGTACGTTCTTCGGCTTTCCCCCAACCACCACCACCACCCCCAACTTTCCCTCAGGCGGGGATCCCTCTAATCCTCTTCTCCGCCGCTCCTCCGGTTGCCAAATAATGCGCTTCTTACACATGGAGCTGCGGCGTCACTACCCTGAACATGCGCACCAGGGTCAGCACACACAGTCCATTACTACCCCCAAAACACAGGGGAGCTCTTAAAGGCAAAACACCCAGGCCAGACCAGGAAAAGCGCTGTGCCTAGGAGCATGCGGTCAGGACAAGCAGCTTCCAGCAGTAGGCGGCTCTTCCACCCCCACCTCACTCTACCTCCCATAATCCCCCCCACCCTTTAACGTGTCTCTGCAGGATACCAAGGAGCTATCCACACTCCCGACTCCAAGAGGTGAGTTCAAAGAAATTGCCAGGAGGTAAGGCACAGGGAGCTAGAAAGCCCACAGCAAGATGAAGAAGGAACTTTATGCGACTTCTTTAGATCCCCTTCATCGAGGACACCCAGAATTCAGGCTGTGGCCAAAAATTCACGCTATGGAGCTACCCTGCACAGCCCATTACTTTTATTTTTGTTGTTGTGTTTTTAAGGGGAAATTTTTTAAAGTAAAATCTCTTTGCCTCAAATATGTGAGAAATAGCATTGATGAATGTTGGCAACATTACTATTACTTGGGGTTTTAACTGGTTCCACAGAACTAGAATACATCTTTAGACACTGATAAGCAGCAGCAAACATTTAGTAAGCTTAGATGTATTGAGTACTGCGCCCGACACAGGGGATTCAAAGCTTGCATAAAATATGGTCCCTGCTCCCAAGGGACAAAATATTGTAAGCTCCATGTAAGCAAGGCCAGGTCAATTATTTCTGCTATCTCTTCTCATCCCACCATACAGAGCTCACTATATAGAGGTATTTAATAAATATTTACTGAATAAATGGTTTTCCTGCAACCTGAAGTATACTGAAATACCTATTTCACGTTTACAGAATATAGTTATTCATTTTTAAAACAATAACCTACTTATTGAGAAAGAGAATTATCAGTTACAATACTGAAATAGAAGTCAACAGAGGGCCATCTCCATTTGTCCAGATCTATATCTTGCCACTGGACCCAGATGGCTCAAGAGAGGAAGATGAGGCTGGTGATTTTGCACAGCCCTCTCTCACCTAAATCCAATTCACTTGCAAGTCATGGCATCACCTTCCTGCTAGCTAGAATGAAAAATAACAAAAGTCTCCTCTATCCCACTCCCAAGTCACTTAACTTCTAGGGCAACTTTCCTAGGATTTATCTAAGCAGCCAGCCTTCTCCATCACACTGGTGAAATCCAATTCTTTTGCACAAGTGCACAATACAAAAATAAAACCTTTTTCAAAAGATAGGGTTAAGAATAATTTTCTGACTGTGTGACCCTGGGCAAGTCACTTAACCCAACTTCCTAACCAAAAAAATTATTATTATTATTATTATTATTATTATTATTTTCTGTAATAAACTGCAGTGCCTGGAGGGCACTAAGAGCTTAATAAATACTTTAATAATAATACTTAATAAATACTTTATTTGCAAGGCCTCTGGGGTCTTTCCACCTCTAATATTCTATGATATTTCTGAGCCATGACAAATTCACAGAAAACAAAGCTTACTGATAGAAGTTTAAGACATAGTGGTATCCAGGAAAGAACCCCAGGCTTGACAAATTCTGCCTAACATCCTCAGCTGGATTTTCACCTCTCTCATTTGTTGTGATCTTAGGTATATATGTCACTTCACATGTTTCCTCGTTATAAAACTGGGGGGAGGGGAAGGTTGAACTAAATTATTTCTAAAATACCTTCCAGGTCTCAAATTCTGTGGCTTGGGATTTATTCATATTGGAAATTATAGCATCTCAAGATTTGGAGGGGTCTTCAAAGTTTCATCTAATCCTGCAAAAGGGAACGACCTCAACAATGTCATTCAAGTTGTTACCAACCTCCACTAAAAGATCTCTAGTGAAAGGGAGCCAGCTCACTGCCTGTCCAGGTGAAACCATTCCACTTTTGGATAGCTCTGAATGTTGAGAAGTGACTAAAATCTACAGTTTCCATCTACTGCTCTTAACTGTGTCTTCAGGCCACAAAAAACAAATCTAATGCCTAGCTCCTAGACAACCCTTCCCAAACTACATAAAGATAGCAAATCATGTCTTCTTTCCTCTCCCTCCCCCCTAAGTCTTATCCAAGCTAAAACATCATCAGTCACTTCAAGTGATCTCCACAGGACATGGTCTCCTCCACTATCCTAGTCACCCTCTTCAATATGGATCCCCAAACCCTCAGGAGCTTCTGCTAGTCCAATATGCTGCACCATATAAGTGCAGTACTGCCCCCCACACACACACACACCCATTTAAAGAAAATACAGAGCTAGGAAAAAAGACAACTAAAATAAGGATTTTTAGAACAATGATGAGAAACCTAAGAAAAGAAATCGTAAAGCCCACCCTCCAGATACCTTGGGGAATTCCTGCCCTCCCTCTCCAGTTACCTCTCAATCTGCCCCCAGAGTGAGCAACGTGGCACCTTGGAGGGAGAAAGAGGGGGAAAAAAAACCCAAAAACTCAACACAACACTAATCCCAAGTAAGCAAATTAGATACATTTTTGTCTGTATAATCTAATATGATGACAATTTACACTTCTGTAGCATTTTAAGTTTTACACTATGCTTTTCCTGTAATACTCTATGAGGTAGATAGTTGAAGTATTATCCACATTTTATAGAGGAAGTAATTGAGATACAGAGAAATTCAATGATTTGCTCAGGGTAATTGAACTAGGACGTGGGTGTACACAATACTATACAGCAGAAAAAGCACTACTGTTGGAGTTAGGAGACCTAAATTCAAATTTCAGCTAAATGCTGAGTGACCCTAGACAAATTGCTTAACTTTGCTATGCCTCAGGTTCCTTACATGCTAAATGGAAATAATACTTGCACTATCTACTTGCACACATCGTTGTTGTGGGCAAAGCTGGTTATAAGCCTATGTAGTTATATAAAAATATGAATTATTATTCTATGTGTAAGACCTGGGATTCAAAACCATGTCCTCTGATTCTAACTGCAGTACTTTATACCATATTGCCTCTTTAGAAAGAGGGAAGTTTAAAAAAACATATCGAATTTTAAAAAAGAGGGAAGTTTAAACTACAATTGACAAGACTTAATATGCCCCCCCTATTATGAAAAAGTTTTCTTTTCTGAGGACAGTTCTGAATGAAAAATTTTGTTAATAATATGAACAAGGTCTTCTGAAAACCTTTCAGGAAGGGGAAAAAGGGAAAAGGGACAGGAAAGAATATCCAACATGGTTTGTAGCAACAATATTCCAAGGAGGTACCCAAAGCCAAGGCCAAATCAAATCATGTTCTGTTGTAATTTCCCCCCCTTGTTTGCCAACATTAAAATACATAATTCTCCTCAAGATCTAATGTACTAGGATCCACAGACAGCTTCTTTCATAAATGAAATCACTTTTCTATAATATAGCTCCTTCATCAGGAAGTTGCAGAAAGTCAATTTCGATAGTTTTGAGCTGTGTGAACAATCAGCAGTTTGTAACAATCTCATAACTGCCTCCCAACAATATTTAATGCAGTAACACACTGAGCTCTGTGAAAGAGAAAGCATTCCAGGAGCTAAAAGATGATACAAAATATAGCAGTGATACCATCCCTGCCCTCCACCCCCATCCTCCCAACCTAGATTTGTCCATGCTAATTGATACTATAAGCAGGTCACACATTTCAACTAAAAAAATTCTTACTCTCTCAAACACAGAGGATTTGAGAAAGAAAGCCAACAAGTTCTCAAAGCTTAAAAGTTTGAGTTAAAAGAAAGTGTCATTCAGTTGTCACTATAATTCTCTGCTTTTTGAATCCTTGACACCTGTGTTTGTTTCCAAATCTGTTTAACACTCCAAACTGTTAATCAGATGATGTATGTTGCAGCAATGCAAGCAAAATATTACCTCACTGTTCCTCACCTGGGCCTCGATTAATGCCAACTTAATTAAATACAAACAGAGAAAAGTGTGGTCAGATGGGAGACCCTGAACTTGAGACAGATTAAGGATTCCAGAGTCTAAGCTGGCAAACCTTAGGAGTGTCACTAAGGTGACACTGTTCTACAGACCAAGGCAGCAGCTGCACTATATTAATGACACACCCCTGTGGACTGATGCATGGATTGGCAATAGATGGGCTACTCCAGAGGGAACTGCCACATATATATACATACTAGTTTTTCCAGTTGGGGAGATGAGACACAGTTCTTATAAGGCATGTTTTTTGTAATGGTGGGCACAGGGAAAGAAAGGCAGGCCAATAATAAGCAGATGTGAAGCTGATAAAAAGGTCAGTGATGTTTGAGATTACTAATGTTTAGGTAAAATAGTTACTTAGTATCTGGCAGGGCGTGGTTTCACTATTAAGTGCCTGTTTATAACTGATTTAAACTTACCAGCAAATACTTTCAATTCTGATGATTATGAAATATGATGCAACCAGATTCTGAAGGTGAAGATTTTCTAATTAAAGTGACTACTATAGCTGGTGCCATGTTTTTTTTCAAATGCTTCCTGAATTGAGACCTTTTCCTAATTCCAAAGAACAAATTAGTAAATTAATACTTGTGAGCCCTCTTGATATATGGCATTGATAACATCACACTAATTGATCTATTTTACAAATACTTAATTTAATAAAATTTTTCTACCACTTATGACCTAATTCTGACACATGTGATACAGAGGAAACCCTCAGTGTTTTACTCAAATAAAATGTAAGGTTGAGGGCACCAGACTAGACTTGCTTCTGTCTTTGCATCTTCATAGGCTAACGTACAGTAATCACTGAATAAATGCTTGTTGAATTGAATTCTTTTAAGTCTCTTTCCACTGAGCTTAAGTTATAGTATGTCTCCATCAACCCTGAATATTGATTAAATCCTGATATTATCTGTTTTTAAAAGTAGGCTTTCTAACTGATATTCTGAGAAGTACACCATGATATTCATGAATAACTGGCCAGGAATGATCTAAAGAAAGTAGTGTAGTATATAACTGAAGGAGAACTTAACTTGGAGTCAGAGGCCCTAGATCTACTGTTTACTGTCTGTATAATCTTAGACAACCTCTCTAGGACTCAGTTTCCACATCTCTGGAATAAGAGGCTTAAAACGAAGACTTTCATCATCTCTTTTAGTTCTAAACTTTATGATCTCATGACCCTACCATTCATTCTGTTAGCCTCCTAAGACAAGCAAAAAGACCTTTGTTGGGTTTTTTGGTTGTTGTTCTTGCTTTTCCCAATTCTACTAATCTATTGGCAAACCTGATTTTTTAAAAACCACCTCGCCAAACTATCATTAATAAACAACCCTTAACATTTTCCATACTACATATTAATTTAATCTTCTAAAGCAGTAATGTCAAACTCAACTAGAAACAAATCCCTGTTGC